AGTGACTGAGCAGTGAAAATTACTGCATGTCTTGTTAGTTCCACTTCAGTTCCACTTCTTGTAATAACAGGAATGCTCCTAGGTGGGTTTGTGTGCTGAAAGGTACATGATGGAAGGAGAAGCATGAAGGCAGGCGATGCAAACCAGCACAGTAAGGGTGGGTTAATGAAAGAATCTCAGGCAAGAGGAAAAACAGGTGGCAGCCAGGCTTTAGTGGGACAGTGAGGTACAGGCAAAATGGAAGGAGATAAGAGCTAAGAGGAGCAAAAGGGGTGGACTTGTGCATGCCTTGAAACATGGCTTGTAATTTGTTCAGAAAGGGACAGGAGCCAGGAAAGCGTGTGAAGAGAAGCAGGCATAGTTGGTGCAATTGATTAATTTTGCTGTAATATTCTGGCTTGATTAAAAAGGGAGTGCAGTAAATGTTAGCAAAGTGAGGAAGGAGGAGACTGCAGCAGCCAGGCAGAGAACATACAGGTTGCAGTGTTTTGCAGCTGTAGCGAAGTAGGACGGACTGATTGGGAAGATCCAGCAGGTCTTGATGGTCAGGCCTTACAGCAGCTGTTTACATGTTAGTGGAGTTGTCAGATCGGGTGAGTTTCCTGTGTGCGGCTAAATGCTTACAGAGACTGAGAACATTTTTTTTTTGCTGTGGGTATACTTAGTTCATTCATTAGTCACCTCTCATTTCAATTACTGTAATGACTTCTGGCTAGACATTGTCCTTCTGTTCTTCATTTACAATCTATTCAAAAATCTGCCACATACATGGTGTCTTGTCATCTTTTCTGCTCATCTTTTCTGCTCACTTAGTTTTGCTGCCAGATCCCCTTAAAACCAACTGTAAAGAACACTCCCAAGATGAAAACAAGACCACACTTTGAGTTCCTAGTTAAAAGAAACAGCTGTTTGTGCTATCTTGTAGTTATTTCATAAAAGGTATTTTTAAAGCCCATCACTTGTGTGGTGTGACAGGCACCTTGGAGTTCTGCAGAATGCACATGGCAGTGAATGATCATAGTAATTCTGAAGACTTCTGCTCCCACTGCGTGGGGTGCTGCACTCAGCCAGCTGGCTACCACGAGGAGAAGAGATTTAAGATTTCCTTCTAGAAGAGAGCGAGTGGTGCCTGCGCAGGCATTGCATCCTCTCCTGCCCTGAAGAGAGCAAGAGGGCAAGGTGCCGCTTGTGCCTCGGTAGGAAGAATAACCTTCCTTTAGTTCATAGTGAGTGCGCAGAGTTGCTCTGGAAGAAAGCAATCAGGTGACAGCTTTGGTAGCGCTTGTGGTCTAAAGAGCAGCTTGTCCCTTCCCTCTGTCCATGCTTTTCTGTCTGAAAGGCATTTGGGAGGAGAGGGCTCAGAAGGTGAGGCAGAGAGGTAGGGTCGTGCTGTGTTGCTGGCAGAGGAGAGAAGCTGACTGCTTCAGGTTCAGAAGTGAACGTGGGGATCTGGCAATTGGGGACCATCGGTGGTGGGTTATTATGAGAGTGAAGGAAAATGGGTATTAGAAGGAAGAGAAGGATTTTCAGTTTATAAGGGAGAAGGATTTGCTTAACAGGTTATTATTGTGCTGTTTTCATCTGTGACTGTCCTTTACTTAAAGTTACTCGTGTCCTGAAGGATGGTGAGAGAAGAGAGCGTCTCTTCTCATAGGAAGGAGTAAAGAGCTGATTGGTTAGGGATTTGCAAATGGAGTGTGATTGCAAATTATTGGAGATAATGAGAGTAAAGATTTACATGTTAATAACAAAATTTATAACATTAGGAAATACAGTAAGTGAGAGAGAGAAAGATCCTGTGAGAATTATGAACCAGGAGCCCTGAGAGCTCTTCCCTGTGGCTTACTGTGTGGCAATGGAAGAACCATGCTGGACGTGACTTGTACGAGCAGTGAGAACTCGCAGCTCCACGTAGGTCGGTGGAAGAGGTAAACACTCCATGTTTCAGCATGGCAGCCCTGAGGCTGTGGCTCTGCAACTTGTCGGGCTCCAGCAGCCTGCACAACACTGGGCTTTTGACCCATTTCAAAAAACACAGTTGCTTTCCAACATAGTTTCAGAGCCTTGGAGAGAGTGATTCTGCAGCGATTGTGGAAATACAATTTTTTTTCTGTTGTTTAATATTTGGTCTCAACTACAAAATAGCTTGTTAGCTTTACAGTATGTTCTTGAGTCATCATCTGTATGTCAGAATGGTTACGACTGGGAAATAACGTTCCAGTTCTACCGTTCCTTGCTCGTAGGCTGGCCAGGGAATATGGTTAAAACGCTTCGAGATTTGAGACTATTTTTCAAAGCATTTTAAGCTGTTTACACCTATCTGTGGAGAAGACAGATGTGAGCTGATTCGATCCGTACCATAGCAAATGTCCTGCTTGGTGTCCGTGTCCCATGTCACGGGCCTGTGCTCCTACAGAGAGCAGCCTTTCTCGAAGGCTGTCTGGAATGTGTCTCGTAGGGCATGGGAAGGCTCAGCAATAATCCCACCTGGATTTTATCTTTCTGTCCCCACTTTCTCCTCTCTCTTTCCCAGAGCGAGGTGTTATGGAGGTGGGAACTTAGGGGAGAAAGGTTGATTTTTCTAGAGCCTGGAGTGCAAGGAGAATTTTTCGTGGAGAATAGAGACTAAGGCGCGATACAGTTGTGGGGAGGGGGGAACACTGCAAGGTTTGGGCCCAGCCAGAGGGTGAAGGACCTTGCACATGTGTGTGGGTGGGATGGCTGAGGAAACACAGGGAGGGGCCCCCAACAACCATGGAAAAGAAAAGGGAGACGCCTGATGAAAAACACTGGAGAAGGGCTGAGCTAGGGCATGGCTCGGCTGGGAATGGGGGCGGATTATGTTGTTCGTTATTAAACCGGGCCACAGGGAATGACCAGAAAGGAAAATGTGCTTTCTCTCTTGGGTTCGTGCAGGACATACTGAGATGTGGGATGTGTGAGCAGAAAATACGAGGCTGGCAAGGCAGAGTCATCTATTCGTGTTAACCTTTGTGTATGCAAGCGAGTAATAAACTTGGGGAGAGACTAATTGGATTTGAAAATTGATGTCACTGTGAGGTTTTTGGAGAGTGATTAAGAATATGTTTGTTTGTTTTTTTTTTTGTAATCCAGTGGCTGTTCTGAGAAACTGAAAATGTTGCTATTAACCAGAAAGGTCCTTTGCTCCATGTCTGATTTCGATTGCCATTGTTACATTAACATCTACATTTCTTCTGCTAAATTACTTTCTGATCTGCAGTTCTCCCTGCCTCTCCTCCAGCCCTCCTTTTTTTTGCTATTTTCTGTGTATTGAAAATCCTTATAAAATCCTTGGCTTCAGCAGCACAAGCTGCTCCTCAACCTTGTTTTCTCCAGGAAATTCAGCACTCGCTGTTGTCTGCCCATGGTGAAGTTCGCTTCCCCAGCATGGAAAGTCCCTAAAAGTTCATCTCAGTCCTGCAGTGTACCAGTCCCACTGCCACCCACAGTTTGCAGTGTGGCAAATCCTGTTTAGTTCTGGGGTTTGTCATAAAGGGAGTGTGTGGTGGGTTTCTTTACCCAGAGGCAAAGCTACAGTTTGTTTTGTTGCTTTCTCAGATACCAGTTTATTCTGGTATTCACATAAGTGACTCTGATGTGCCTAAGTTCTCTTTTTAGGAGGTGTATGTAGCTGGCTTACTCGTCTTCCTTTAAAATTTAGATCATATTATACTTTGTTTTAATTAATTAATCACATAATCTTGTTTGTTTCTGTTTATTACCGTTTCTAATGCTGCTGCACATGCTGGCTTCTTCCTAACTTGCCCCCCCCCCAAAAAAAAAGCTCAACCACTCTCACTCTGTAATCTCCTTGAGCTACTCATTTGTCTGTCAGCAGAAGCATTAGAATAATGAAAACACACATCTGGGACACTCTCCCAGGTAATGAATGCCATTCGCTCGGCTCACCTTCCACAAAACCAGGTCTGAATTAGGGAGCTTTGCAGCGTGACTGCTAGGCCAAAATCTTGCGCTTTCTCTTGTCAGGGGGTGAGGTAATTCTAGAGGTGGTTCTGTCTCCTGTCTCCCCTAAAAGACTGCCGGTCTCCAGCTGCTCGGAGTTCGTTCTTGGGAAAGGTTAGTTTGATACTGACACGGATTTCAGATTCAGTGTAAGGGGTGTCTTGGCTTTTCCTCCAGCCTAAGTTCAGGACTGAGAGGTACTTAAGGACATGGTGAGAAGTCAGTGCCATGTGATCAGTCCATAACAGCTTCTCTGTGGGCGCTGTGGACACAGGGGCAACAACTATTGCACAGTTTTCATAACGTTGTTATTTTGCTAATGCTTTTAACATTGAAACTCCTCGAGGCTAGGAGTGTGCTGAACATGGCGCAGTCCGGTATGGCTCTGGCAGTGAACTACTGCTGTACAGTCTCTGTGTGACGAAGTAGTACTGTTCCGACCTATAAAACTGAGGAGCATTGAGAAACGAAGCATGCGGACTACTGGTGTAACTATCCGTAGGTCCACAGCAGGCGCAGCAAAGTCTCACCCCAACAAGAGAGGGCAGACGTTACTGTCTCCGGGCCCTCCTAGAGTCACCTTCATGTTACCTGGATGACACCTGGGCTCACTCGCCGTCACCTGACTCCACTCTTGGACAGGCACAGGGAGCACAAACATGCTTACCAGCTGACATAAACTAGACTCATACTGAAAAGGCAACAGACCCAGGCTACCTCAACGCGTCCTTCTGGCCTCAGGTGTGCACTGAACAGAAATGCAGCCACAAAAGCCTTGCGGTGCAGAGGCAGTGGGCCACTGACCAGAGGATCTGCTGTCTGCTCTGAAAAGGGGAGGCAGACGCACTTCCGCGCTGCCTCACTATTCTCCCTCCATAATTAAGAAGCTGTTTTTATCCTTTGCTTGATTTTACTGTAAAGGGCGTTCATAGCTGGCTTCTGCTGCCTGCAGTAGCAAACAGCAATAAAATAAGCAGTGCATTACTAACATAAGCATGTTTTATTTTTCTTTACAGGTAACTGTGCTGGTCCTTTTCGCTCTTGCGTTCCTAACGTGTGTTGTATTTCTGGTAGTCTACAAGGTTTACAAGTATGATCATACCTGTCCAGAAGGATTTGTTTTCAAGGTAAATTGCATACACATTCTAGAAAAGCAGGAGAGTATGTAATATTCTCTGTGTTGTTTTCTGCGTAACCTTGATTAAGTCACGCTGTATTGCATGGCAATTTGTGTTTGTTTTCATAGGTCAGTGTGCTTCCTGCTATGTTTCTTTCTGCTTAATTTATAATTGAGGTGGTACTATTGCACAATTTTCATAACATTGTTATTTTGCTAATGCTTTTAACATTGAAAACATAGCACAAGTCCCCACACCAGTGTCCTTCAAACTTACTTCATCTGCAGTTGTCTGGACAAAGCTCTCATTTATTGGGTCATAATGGTTTAATGTTGCGCGTTCCTCCAAATTCATGTGTCTTAGAAAAGAAGAGAATGATAAAACCTGGAGGAAAAAAATGACTCTTGAATATGTGTCAAAGAAACTGCAGAGTGATGTTCTCATTAAGAGGGGCAGAGTTACCTTAGGGTTATTTTTGTAGAAAGAACTTCTTGTTCTAGAACAGTGACCTCCAAGCCCTACGGCCACAGGCCAAAAGCGATGCCAAAAAAGGGAAAATACATTTATTGGAAAAAATATTGGTTCTAACCAAAAGGAAGGCTGGGGCTCCCTTCGTTCATGCGAGATGGTAGGGCTGGCTCCTCAGCTGCGACCTGGGCTGAAAGTCAGAAAGGTAGCATTGATTTCTCAGTTGTAAATTTAGTGGGGTTGAACTTGGCTGTAATGAAATAAGAAAAGTGGCAGTGATGATGGCATTCTTGCCCCAGATTTTTTAAGAGTATTTAGTCATGTAATGAATCAAATAGGTACCTAGCATGATCTTCAGAAGGATTTAAGAAGGAATGGTGGCCTCTGCTCTTCATCACGATCCTGTTCAGGACTTTTGATTCTGTCACTTCAGGCACGTAAATATCTTACAGGAATCTAGTCCGAAATGACAGTGCCCTGATGAATTAACTTAGCTCCAGGCGTTCAGTTTTAGGTTACTGCTTTCCCTTGGTTCAGGAGCAAAAGATAGCGTGGTTAGAATATTTGGCTGTAACTCAGGAGATCCAGCTTTTGGTTCTGCTGCTGATTTTTTGTGTTGTCTCGGACAAGCGCTGAAACCCCTCTGTGCTCACGTCTCACGGGACGATAGCCTTTTCATTCTAAGCTTTCTCGTGGCTTTGAGCTGTTTGGAAGACGGCGTGTCTGTTCCTACGGAGCCGATGTTGACGTGATCCTGACTTGACAGGAATGGCCAGTTACGCACTCCTGTCGTAAGTCTTGTAACAGTCTGCTGCTTCTGGTTCCTTTCTTACCGCATTGTCCTCTCCTGTGAGTTGCAGCCTTCTGGCGTCTTTTGTCTTTTCTTCCTAGTGTTGCAGATATTTAAGGGGAGAAGAGCTGCTCAGCTGTGTTTCAGTGGTACTGTGAACAGAGTCTGGCTGGGTGTAGGGCCCTGTGTTTGAAACAGGGGTTCAGAACGTCCCACAGCTCATGCTTTGTTTTTGAGGTGCGGCACACACCAGGGCCGCGTTACTGTTACTCTCCCAGTGCTGGGTTTTCTGGAGGCTGTTTCCCAGCTGCTGGATGGCATGATGCCAGGAGACACAGCATCTTGTGGTGTAACTCTTAAAAGAGTTTTACAGGGTAAACACGTTAGCAAATGACACAAAGCCTGAAACTACCAGTGCTGACATGAATTTGTATTTGTTGCCTTCACATCATTTTTGGGGAGAGTCTGTAATACGTCATGGCACAGCTTGGCACAGAAGTCGGCTGTCCCCTGGTGACCGGTGTCTCTGTGGGCTGGCTTCATGCTCCAGGTGGACCCAACAACATTCTCTGGCCTGGATGTCCCCAGGCTTCGGATGCTGATGCGATTCCCTGGCAAAGGGCAAAGGTGTCCCCTGCCTCAGGACGCCCGGTACCATGGGAGTCTCTGCATGAAGGCCGAGCTGCCGCAGCTCTGAGTCAGACTCACTCCTCTGCTTTGATATTCTCGGACATGGAGCAGTTCCAGAGGTTTCGGTGTTTTCAGCCTTTCTGCTGTCCTATGTGTCCAGGGCTTGAAGGTGTCCTTAAAAAGGTGCTCACTGTCCTTTGTACTGCAATCTTAAACTGCTTGAGCCTCAGTTTTGTGCTTGCCCAAGCTTTCTGACACAGCCCAAGTACTGCTGTTGTGTAGATCACTCCTCTGAAGCACTCCCTACTGGCTTTTGGTGACTCACTGGAGTTTTCCTCAAAGACCTGCATGCACTTATATCCTGGAGGAGTTTCTCCAGGGCTTCAGTGTACTCCACACCGCATCTGTTACCTTCAGCTTTGGTTGCTGAGGCACCTGTGTTCCGTCAGGCTCAGGCACAGCATGACAAAGTAATCTCAAAGCATTAAAGACACCACCATCATCTATGAAGTTTGGAATTAGTGACCCAGCAAAGTTCATGTTACAGAAGAAGCCAGAAACTGGCAACTCACTCTGAAGCACCCCAGTTTCTCCTCGTGGCCTTCCTTATTACTTCTCTCACCTGGGAACCATGGAAACAAATAAAAAAGACAGGGAGAAATGTTCTGCGTGAGCTGAAGGTCTCAGGCAGGCGGCAGGATGAGAGTCAGCGGCAGTTCCCATTGCTCTGTCACTCTGAGTGCCGCGTGGCTTGCCCCGATGAGGAGCTCAGCAGAGGGGCTGTCCTGGGGCAGTGCACAAGGAGCAGTGAGTGAAAGGGGGGGGTTTTCCCATCTTTTCTAGAAAAGCATGAAATCTCAGTAGCAAAAATGCAGTCACGATGGAAACTCTGCTGTGTGTTTCTTCAGCCTCCTCTGTCAGATGTTGTGCACGTTTGTGACTACAAAGAAGAACATTACTGAGTCATTTTGCCTGTTACAAAGCAAAGTGCTTCTCAAAGCAACACAAGATTCTGTGGCATTTTTTTGGACTGGCAGTAATCTTGGCTTGTCTTCAGCACTAATAATTATATTTGCTTGAATTTCCTTGGCAGATTTCATTAGATCAGTGGATTGCGTTCCTTCCCTCATTTTAAATATTTGGAATTGTGACTGCATCCCATATCTGGGTGAAATAATCAGTACAAAGATGTCTGTGTCCATGTACTTCTTAGTCATTATATCACATCAGAAGTAGCGTCAGTTATCCCAGATAAAGCATGGATAATACTTCCAGAGGATGTAGGCGAACATGCGTACCAGATAGCTCTATTCCAGAGTTGTCCTGGACTTCTGTTTTTTTTAAATCCAGGTCCCAGTCTTGCAGCTGGCAGGTACGATGATTATGACCGTTGGGAAACCTCCGTTGATTTAAACAGTGCTGAACAGGCACAGGCGTCTGCTTAGGCGGGGTGAAATCCCGTGTGCTGCGCAGTGCTACGTCGCACAGCGCTGGGAGGGAGGATTTGCCCTGGGCAAACGCGCAGGCCGAGCCGGCTGTTCCAGGCAGCGAGATGGCAGATTGCCCTTGCGTGCTGCAAGGCTTTTCATTTCTGTGGCTTGTCCTCACATCCAGGAGCACTGGCCCGGACTGCGTCTGGGCCTCGTGCTTTGGCATGCCCTGCTTTTTTAATTTTGTACCTTTTGATGGTTTTTTTGACTTTTAACATTCTGAGGTTGCCAGACGACTATTAAGCCAGGACTGACTGCCGCATCTTTCCCCCAGTCGTTCGGTGCTTTATGGTTTAAGCCATTTGAAACTGTTGTTACTGGTGCTTCTTTATGCCAGTTCACTCCCAGCCCCGGACAAGAGTCAACCCAAAAGTAAATGTGGACACATTTGAGATAGCATCTGGTCCTAAAAACGGTAACATTTTTGCATGTGTTTTTGCACTCAGAAATTTCCAATATTAGGTTTTGCTGGCCAAGTTCGATGAGAACAGTAGCATTTCAAAGTTGCCGTGCTGTAATATTATAAACTTTAGCCTCCTGGTGCTGGAAGCAGGAAGACCAAACAGGCTATTTCTTTTTAAAACAGTCAGAGTAGAAATGGTGAAAAGGTGCTCAAAAAACATGTAGGTGTTCAGAAAACGTGTAGATGTGGCACTTCAGGACATGGTTTAGCGGGCATGGTGGCGATGGGTTGACGGTTGGACCTGATGATCTGAGAGGTCGTTTCCAACCTGAATGATTCTGCGATTCTAAATGTCTTTTTGCTGGAGCTGCAGCTGCTCATAGCTTGTACTTGAGAGGTCAGTTAAGTTGCCCAGCGGCTGCCCCGACCCTCTGAGGGGCATGGGGTGTGTGTCACGGGCTGTGTCTCCGTCACATTTTCCTTCCCAGACTGTTACTGCAGCAGTTGCTAGGTGATCGCTCCTGACGGAGGCACGGCACGGCACGCATACGTTCACCGAAGTTTTCTAAGATGACAGCAAAGTTTGGATCCAGCTCAGTCTCTGACTCTGTAGATGAGGTGTTTCCAAAGCTCTGAGCATCTCGCAGTTTCTGTGTAGTGCTCTTACCCTTCCAGGAAATGAAATCCTGTCCTCCCACAGCTGACGATCGCTTTTTAAAAGCCTGCTGTTGGCTACGTCTTTCTGACAATCATGAGAGAAATATTTTGTAACTGTGTGCACACTTGCACATAAGCTTGGCCACCCACAATGTTTTCCCTGTGTATGTCTTATTTACTGGGCCCTAAAACTGTTCGTACCTCGGCAGTACGTGGCTGTGTTAATTTCTGTCCCTCAGACCTAAACCACGGTATTGAAGTGCCCGAAGCTCATCTAGCAGTGGGCTGCAAACATCTGTAACTGCAGCCCAAACAGCTGGAACTAGCAAGGGAGGCAAAACCAGCAAAATATGGCTGGAACTAGCGACCGAGTACTTCCACAAATGATGTTAGGGAACGATGTTTCCTGTGTGTTAATTATTCTGGCATATAAACCCAGGCTGGTCTTCCTGGCTAATACACGAGTAGTTTCAGGCTTGCAGGGAGGAACATTTTGAACCCAGCAGGGCTACATGGTGGTTAATTGCTGCATCTTGACGCACAGAAAGGGCGTGTTGGCTTCAACAGAGCAGGACAAAACCCTAACCCACTGCGGGTGTGTATGGGACCGTATCGGTAAGCTAAGGGATGGCTTTCTCTTTTTGTTTTTTCTTTTCCCCAGAATAATCAATGCATTCCAGCTGGGTTGGAAAACTACTACTCTGAACAAGACTCCAGCGCTCGAGGGAAGTTTTACACGGTCATAAACCACTACAATCTGGCCAAGCAAACCATCACGCGCTCCGTGTCCCCGTGGATGACAGTACTGTCAGAAGAGAAACTGTCTGAACAGGAGACTGAAGCTGCTGAGAAGTCAGCTTAGTATGATAAGTCAATTATTAACACGATGTCATTTGAAGGTAACTAAGGGACTTTAAGGAACTTTTCATTAAATATAATTACGGATAATTTAGAGGTTACTCATGTTTATGGTGCAATTGCTTCTGTTTGCTGATACTGCTTTGCAAAAAAAAACACCAAACCAAACCACAAAACAAAAAACTCAAAATCTTGCTGCAGAACATTCATGGGCACAAGACAAGGTGCATATCAGCATTGCTTTAGAGCTTGGACACCATTTGCAATGTTTAAAAAAAAAATTCCAATGTTAGATATGTTCTTGCAGTTTATTGGATACTTCGCTGGATTTTCAGGGCTTGGACCTTGGATAAATCATGCGTTCTGTTGTCTGAACTGATACTTTATTTATTAATTTTTTTATTCTTTGTCATTTTGCAAACTGAAACACCCCAGCCATAACTAGAGTGATCTCTTGTTTAGCTGAAAGCTGTATTTAATATTTAGTTTTGGCTCAAGCAAGAATGAGAGTCAGCACTGGGGTCAAGAGCATAACGTAATGACTTGTATGGGAAAGAAACTGGCAGGTAGTGTTTTTCTTACGTTTTCTTTACTGTTGTTTATTTGTAAGTGATAATGAAGTTCTCTGCAACGAGGCATGCTCAATGTTTTATTATTGCTGTCAACAGGATTTAACTGCATTTCCACTGTGGCTTTAGCATCTTGGTAAGGATGTGCACTGAAACACAAACTAGGTAGACGTGATGGGAAACCACAGACAGTCGTAGTGATGGATGTTGAGGATAGTGTGAAAAATACACAGTTCGGGATGTTCCAAGGAGAAGCGACATCTTCTCATCATACTTGCGAGGCAGAAAGCCTATTCACAGTAGATGTTGTCCACTATGTAATTTGTTGGGTACGACAGAGGGAGTAATCTGTCTAAAATTTCTCTTTCTTACATTAACATCTTCCATTTTTATGAATTAGAAAGAGCTTTCAGTTTATGTTTTAAAAAGTAGCAAACTGCAAACCATACACAGAGCATCACAAGTGAAACACAATCTGTGTTAGAAACACGACTGGCTGTTGTAAAGCTGCGTGTGAAACCGAGCGGAGAGTAGAACTGTTCGTGGGGGGCTTGGGGGCAGCAGATGTAGCAGGACACGGTGTTGTGGGTGCACAGGGAAGTTCCATTTTAATTACAACTTATCTATTCTCTATGTGAAACCATGTTTTCATTTTTATTATAGATCTTAGATATCTGTTACAAAAAAAGACATCTTACTAATTTAAGTTAGACAAAATGTGTGAAGCATCTGGGCAAGCACGTCACCTTTGTGGTCGTGCAACTTGACTGGGACCAGGTGTAGTGGACATGTCAAAAGTTCCATTCTTTTTTTGGTAGCGACTATACAACAATGAAGGGAAAACAGCAGTAGGGGCTGTTCCTCCAGAGCTGTAGCAGAACAAACATGGTCAGCTCTATTTCCTCCAGTAGAACTGCTTTATCAACAATGCAGTAAAAATAACTGCTATTACTTAATTCTTTAGGTTTGACACAAAATGTGCATTACAGTAATATCTGTAAAAGGCTTTTTATTAATTCATTATGGTATGCAGAATGCATAAAAAGCAATAAATTATGTGCCAAATTTTTCTTTGCATTTAAAAATTTCAAGCTTATGTTAATATACTAAAAACACGCCACGTTTATGTTTTCTAACAGGCATTATAGGCTTTATTGAATGCAATTAATTCACATGTAACTTTTGACATTTTCACTCTGTGCAGAGTAAAGATGAAGGCTGCTGCTGGTTGTTGCATATGATGTATAGAAATATATATTTCAGAAGGGAGATGGCAAAACACACATTTCATGTCAACATATTTACAGAGGACATTCAGATTTTACGAGACGTAAAGACCTGTTCCCCAAGAACGTCGTACATAGAAATGATTCATGATACATTTCCTCCCCGCAAATTTAGGACAATAAAAACTTTAATGCACAAGTAAGTACTGATGAGAAACTAACTTCTCTCTCTCAAAACAGTACATACTAAGCTTTACGATCTAGAAGCAGATTGCTTATGCTTCTTGAAGTCAAAACCATTTTTTCCTCTTAATGTCACAGGAGGGAGGTTATCAATTCAGCAGTGGGTTTTGAGACTTTTTTTTTTTCAGTTAACAAACTGCTCCCAGTTGTAGCACTTTGAAGAGTCTGGCTTTAACACTGTCTGTCCTTGGGCTTTGTCCTGGTGCATTGCACAGTCCGTTTGTGTTGTATTCTCTCTCTTTGCACCTAGCAGGAAAGCTCTTCAGTTGACATTTTACCATCATTATTACTAAATGAGCCTGATCTCCGACTCCGGTAGTTTCAGAGGATTAGAAGTAGAGGCCATACATGTGCAACCTGATCATCGCTGTGTACTGCCGTGGTATGACTCAATAAACGCCTGAGACAGTGTAGCTGCTTTTGCGCAGTAACAGTGTTCTCTTGCTCTGGGCGGCAGGCGGGGAGCCGGACTTGCAGCATCGCAGACGCATGGGCGACGGGGATAAAACCATGAGCTTTCTCCTGTTAGCTGGGCGCCGGCTTGTAGCTTTCTTACCAGCTCGTTCAGAGGTTTCTGTGTTCTCTTCAGGATTAGGTGTGGTTTTATGTTTGATAAAGGGATTTAAAACGAAGGCTATCAGCTCCCTCTGCACTAATGGATATGTACACGTGCTTATTTATTGGAAGATTATTTCCATTGTAGCTGTATGAAAAAATGCATAAAATACCCAGGTATGCCATGCACCCTGCTCCCTAGAAAAAAAAAGTCAGAAGTCTTACAAACAAAGCATGTAGACAATATTATATTTTTGATTAATTATCATACCAGTCCAGGAAAAGCAAGGAAAATGAACACATCACGAGGAAGAACAGGATCCATACTCTAAATCCAGCATTGTTTTTGATTGCCTGTAAGGAAAAGGTTATCCCCATTACCATCAGCAGGGAACGTACAGGAGAATTCCAGCCATGGCAACCCAGGGTGACTGTTAGGGGCCTCGCTCTTCCCTCCCGCAGCAGAAAGGACAGAACTTGCCATTAATTCCAGGTGAACAGAAGTCAGGTTGGCTGTATCTCTTTAGTTTTATCACACTGAAGTTTCTCTCAAAACCTTAAAATTGGTCATTTTGGAAAAAAAAAAAAAATCCCAAGATCCCACACAGTGGGCATACACTCAAAACATTAAGAACTACATAAAAATGTACGTGCTTGAAGATGAGTTTTAAGTTCCAAAAGTGAAATTCTCCGATTAGAAATAATCAGGCCTTCATCGTTCTAATAAACATGACTAAAAAACCAAACCAAACCCAAAACCTGACAACGATTTCTGGAGGTTGATCTAGTGCTGTCAAGCACGTGTTTCAGTCCCAGAACAAGCAGAGCAAGGAGCAGGTACAGCAAGTGTTTTTCTTGTGTTCTCCGCCCCCCAACTGAGACCAGCAAATAGTCAGGGACCTCTTTGACATTGCAGATTAAAAAAAAAAACCTCTTCCATTTGTAAATGTGATACAAACATTAATGTGAGTGACAAAGTTTTGCATTTGTCACCTTTCTCTACTGTTTCTCAGTGTGGTTTAGGAAACAGTGCTCCCTACAAATGTGAAAAACAATGAAGCCCAAACAACTTCAGTTCGCGCAGTGGTGTTGAACACTGGTCTCTCCCTACAAGTGCTGGGGCTGTCGGCTGACATCTTTGTACCTCCAGGCGTCCTGTCTAAAGTGCCTAAGAATCATGACTGAAAGGCACAGTAACTGCGTGCTAAGTGTTGGTAAATCTGTGAGTCTCTAAAAAACCCCAGACATCTTCCTTACCACATGCTGTACCACCACGCCTACTGGACAGCTACTGAAGAGAATCCTCCAGATACTCAGTTTGAAGAAATGTGGAAATGAGTTCCAAATCAGAAATTTTAAGTCCCCAAGTTATGCTTGCTAATGTATGTTTGATGCACTTTTCAGGAGAGCTGAGCAGTAGAGAACTCACCCTTGAGTTACATATTCGGGGTGCTTGTGGGGGTGGGGGCGGGGGGGGGAACAAACACGCAACGAACAAAAAAACCCTGACCCATTTACTCAGTAGCCTGACTTAGGAGCTCTGTTTTTATTGAGATCTCAGTTCCCGAGAGAAAACATAATTTCATTGTAATTAGGAAGACGATAGGATAGATTTATTACTGCCTCCAGCATGGTAAAGAGACTCTTCTGCTAATGCACAGCATTTAGCTCCAGTTTCAACAATCCCAGCACTGTCTCTTATTTGCAGTCTGCCCTTTCTCCCCTCCTCCTCCGTTTTTAAATGAACTTCACAGGTGCTTCAGTGCATGCCAAGTGCCCTTTGTGCTTAACAGAGGGGCAAGGCCAGGCAGCTTGCTGTTAGCAGGACAAGAGCAGCGCTGCAAACCTCAGCTAACTCCTGCCACTTCTCCACACCCATGTCCTGACCCCCAGCACACGCTGCAGCGTGCTCTGGGTGAGCTGGTCCCTGCTGTTCAAAGCCACACTTGGGCAAAACTGAAAGTTAAGAGAAAGTTTAAAACACAGCTTCGAGCTGTTACCTCTCTTATGTCTTCGTTGCCTTCTTTGATATTCTCCGTTGCGCCCACAACTAGTTGATGGATATTGTCAATATCAGTTTCCTGTTAAAAAAAAGAAAACTGAGACACCGTGATGAATTTTAAGAAAAACACACTTCTAAGGATTGGGGGAACAAGCAGAACTCAAACATTAAATAAAACCTGGTGTTTTTAACATCTTAGTTGCAGTGATGCAAAGGTATAGGGGCAATTAATTGTGGTTTCTTTACCTCTGGTTATACGAGCTATGATGGAGAACCCCAAGATCAACCGGAAGTCTCCCATTTATCTAGAATCAAATCTAACCCGTCTAATTTTTGCCAGCCCTTTTGGAAGAGGTGCCACCATTTCCAGAAAAGATGCTCTCAACACATTTAACTGGGCACTAATTCTGAGACAGCGGGATCATTCTAACACGTATGTTGCATTTTCCATTCCCAGCACATACTGATAAGTAACAACAGTAAATAACTTGATTCTGCATTTGAAAAACATAAAAAAGAATCTTCCTTCACACTTGCAAAGATTCATTAGTCTTAATGTCTACATCTTGCATGCAACCAAGACCAAAATAGCCCCAAGAAAACCTTCAAGCTGTGTTTGCTACTGTAGTATTAAATTACACACTAACCTGCTGCAAGACCTTTTCAGTGAATATCTCTTGTAATCTGGAGATTTCCACCACTTTTCCTTCAATTTGCCTTGGCAAAGAACAGAAATACTCCATGAGAAGCGAGCGCAAACGCCTCGTGCTGCCGCAGACCCTGGTGAGCAGGCGGGCTGTGCAACACCCGTGCTGAGTGCTCCGACAGCCGCGGGCGGGAAAAGCACCGGCCCACTGCGATGTGAATCGAAGCGTGGGGAGAAGCGGCTGTCACGGTGAGAGCTTCACCCATCTTCCTTCCCCTAATGGTGGGCCCCAAGCAGTTAATTTTGATACACGCTTTCTCTGTGCTGCTGTGAAGCGTGGCATTCACCTTGCCTAGCACTAGTAATCCCAGAGTAAAGCTCTAGCCTGCCT